TGCTACCCATATGTTGAGATACATGTCAAATATGAACGTAGGCAGTAATAATGCTTTATAATGACCATTTATAAAATTATATTTCTAAAAACTCTTCTTTAATGTTCAGCCCCGAAACCACAAATGACTCATGTCACGTCATACACACACAAATATAAATATATAAATATATATAATAAATATATAATAATAACCTAGATATTTTACGTTGTACGTCTTGATTACAAACATTCAACTTCTCAGATCATCTTATCTTCCGTACTTACAAGCTAAACAAAATAATACAAAATGTCACTATGTAGTTTTGCAGCACATAAATTCACCAAATAATAAAAATGTGGGCAAAGAATATATTTCAAAACATACCTTTGACCTTATTAACTTAAGGGTACAAGTACTGAGAGCAACGATTAGGCTACAACCTTTCAATCCCATCAGAGTGCATTATGTATCATTAAGAGTGGTGTGAATAAATGAGAGCTGCATCAGAAACCCATCGTGCAACGAGAAATCATGTTGATGTAGATAAATACAACAGAAAGGAGAAACGGGGTTTAATGTTATTTAGACTGCTTTTTCAATTAAAAAAAGAAAAAGACCAACAGGCCTGTAACTCCCTACAGGAAAAAAAGTTTCCTGTGAAAACAGTTTTAGGAATACAACTGGTGGCGAATGGCAGAAGAGTGGGGTTAACGCTGTAACAAGAACCGTCTGGCTATTTTCACGGCGTGGAAACGGGGCCGGTGTGTGCTAGCATTTCGCTGGGCGAAAACAACAAACATACCCTGCTAGACCCGTAAAAAAAAACAGGGGGCTGAGGTAGCAGTAGCTGTTCTATTCATTCCTACTCCTCCTTTTCCTTTTCCGTGCGAAGAAAAATTAACTGGGAAAACAACACGTCGGAGAGGGACTGCCGTGCTGAAACTACCTACCGCCGCAATCTCGGCCCGACCGCACATCTCCAACGGCTGGCTGCTCCTCTCTCCTCGCGTCTTTTCTCCTTCTTTTTTTCCCACCCACACTCAGGTTTTCCGTGATTAAATCATCGCCGGGCTCTCATAAGGCGCTGCGGTCCGGACAACAACAATTCCCGTTTCCTCTTCTCGCCTCTGGCCGTCCATAGAGAGAGAGAGGCAGACAGACACCGAAGCCCGTGGTAAGACTACGCAAGTTTGTCTGCTCTCGGATCAAGCCAGCGCAGGCCCTCTCTGGCACGTCAAGCGACCCGGAGTCTGTCACGAGGCTTCCGTCGCGGCTTTTCACAATAAAAGAAGTAATCACGTCGCGTAAAGAGGTTGAGAATGTAGTTTAAAAAAAGATTAATTTCGTGTAACGCGCCCGTTTCTTAATTAGGGCGACCTGATGTCCCTCTTTATGTGGGACAGCGAGTTTAATTATTCGTTTTTTTTGTTTTTGTTTTTTGTTTTATTCCTTGCCCCACTGTCCTACATCTTGAGACAATGTTACACATTTTGACTGGTTCATGCACATTTCTGGCTTTTGCAAAAACTTTTTAATATAGTCAGAAAAAGGTTATCCTAATGCCAGTTCAATCCACTTTTATTTATATAGTGCCAGATCACAAAAACAGTTACCTCAAGGTGCTTTGTATTGTAAAGTAATGACTACATTAATATAGCGAAAACCTCAACAATAACTCGACCTCCTTATGAGCTAGCATTTCGCACAAACTGTGTTTAGTCTGCATTTATTTTATAGCGATCTGGTCGCCCTATTCCCAACAGCTGTATGAAAAACAGATACATAACACTTCACATATCTTTCACACATTTAACATATGCATGTTTATTATCATTATCAATGTTTATTATCAAAGTAGTTGTGCTTTATTTCAAATAAACAGAGGCATCACCATGAGTGTTGGCGAGCGTGTGTACTTTTGGTGTTCTGTTTATGCAGTTGCTTTATCATCTGTGGTGACGGTGAAGCATGTTGTAATACTGGTTTTAAATAGGAAGCAACATCCACAGTTGAATGAGGAAGCAGAAAAAACTGCCGCTCCTTGAGGTTCCTTGAAGGAAATGGTGACCCTGTCATATTTTCAAGATATGACAGGGCTCATAGGGGAGAGCGTCTGATTGTTGGGGAGCGTTTCTAATGTTGTAGGGCCTTTACTCTCCTATACAAAACACCATGAGGTGGCTGATGTTGTGAATTGGTGCAACATAATTAAAAAACAAGTAGTTGTCACTTGAAGATGGCTCCTAAATGGAGTCCGGTTCCATACACTCTTATGGTAAAATGTTCAGCGTCACAACACAAAAAGTATATTTACAAAATAACGTTTGCAAAATACAATTTGGACAGTTTCTGTCTGTTTGGACAGTTTCAGCCCTCATAACAAATTTCAGTAGGGCAATTTATTTATTTTAGTTAAAATCCAAAATTCCAAAGCCAAGGTTGATGTCATAGTGGTTATGTCCATCTTTGTATACAGTCTATAGTTTTAAACAGGTATTTATCACTTGTATGTTAAGTTTACATCCAAGCCATTTATTACTGATACCATCTAATTATATGCTTGTAATTTTTCTTACTGCATCATTTTGAAACATTCTTTCTTCTTGTTGTTTACCTTGGATTTCTTTGTATGTAGATGTGGAGAAGCAGAGACATCAGACAGTTTGTTTCTCTGATAGTCACACTTATTAGTGGGAAAAAGTGACTAAATAAAACCAATAACTACACTTTAAGGTCACTTACATTTCAGGTAGATAACTTAATCAGACTGATTTATGTCCTTCAAAGAAACCACTGACGCCTGTTTCCCTAATTATTCTTCAGTGTACAGTATTATCAACACACCGATATTTTTTGTATTTGCTCAACAGAATTGTGACATTAAATTTCTCCCGCTGCCTTTAATGTCCATGTTTTATAAACCCAAGGACTAAGGGTTGTTGTTTTGACCTGATTTGCCATCTCTAAAAGTCAGTCAGTAGCCCTGTATTACAATATTCAGCTAAAATATGTGTATATGGCTGCTAATTGCTGCGAGGTAAAGCATCGTTACCTGATTTGCGTTCTAAATCCAACATCTGCAAAACTCTTTTTGAGGGCAAACGTTTTGACAAAGACATGCACTTAATTTGTAGTCAATCATGGCACTTCCGGTTTGACCCTGCTGTTCTGACTGCAAATAACGGCACAACGAGCAGTTGAAGCGGAATGGTATCGGCCTCTTAAAGACCCAGACCTTTCCTGAACACAGAGCTTACTGTGTCTCCTAAACATAGCCTTAAATAAACTTTTTTTTTTTTTAGTTATTTTTTCCATTATAATTGTACATCTTAAAACATAAGTTGTTGACTGATTCCTGTTGATTCCCTCCACATCAGGAACCAGACAATGATTACACAGACATGTGTAATCAGACAATGAGCTTATTTTTAATACCCACTTGAAAACTAATCAAAGCTGGCAACAAAAAGACGAAAAAGACAAGTCTGATGTTTTATTCTGAAACCTACAAAGCTCAAAACAAGCATTCAACTAACCAGGATTGCGATTGTGTGGTACAAGATCATATAGCAAGAAATATTAATGACAAAAGTTAGAATATCCATTCACATTTGCAAATGAATTCAAAGACACGTTCTGCTTTATCAGAGCAATACAAAAACAGCACGTTACAATGACAGACTTTTGAGATCTTATTTGGCAAAAATCCACCCCCCTTTTGTCAGGAGGAGCTATCCTGTATTTATTTTTTATTTTTTTTAGCTCTGGCATACAGTACATACACTGCCTTTCAGCTGCTTCAAGTAACCAAGATCCATATTACACAGAGTTCATCGTAAAACTGAGGAAACGAACACGCAAAAGTTGCATTTGAGCAATGAAAAGCCTTCTGTTATAATGCTTACAGCACACATTTTAAAAAATACTGAATCAGTCACTAAAAGAACAAAACAAAACAAAAAACAGACAAAAGTATATGTACATCCCTGAAAGAAACAGCAAACTCAGAGAGGTGATGGAAAAAAGGACGACATTCTGTGCGCTAATAGTTGTGCGAGCATAGTGCTGGGGGTTTTCTGATCTTCACACTGTCACCAGTCTGTCATTTCATTTCATCTTTCACACTAAAATTACACAAATGAAAAGTCATCACATCACCTCTCTCTCATGTTGCGTCTCACAGTCTCCCATACAAACATTTGTTTAATTCATTATTCTATGACAATATAGATTTATTTCTCAATAAATCTGATGGCTTACAAATTTCAATACATTTTATCTCACAAAAGATAATACTAATGCGTCCGTCGCTGCTGGGTCACAGGCAGATAGCTGCAGCTACATACGCACTACTGTAGTTTTGTAAGAGAGAGATGCCCTTCGGCAGCTTGGTCAAATGGTTAAGGAGTTATTTTCCTATACATAGCTAATCCTTATGTACAGCACAATTATTCACCTGCGATCGGCTCTCGAGCAGAGGCTTGCCTTCCTCCTTCACTGCCCTGCAGCAGCAACACAGTGGAAACATTTTGACATCTCCTGCAAACCATTTTCATATCAAAGGCATGGGTATAAAAGGTAAAACATTAAATAGGTTTAAAACTCATAGTCTTTATCGGCCATGTCGATCGCCCAGGCGAACTTCTCTCTCTGGGTTTTGTTGTAGATTTTCTCAATGGGAATGCCGAACTTCTTGCACCTGGGATTGGAGGAAAGACAAGACAGAATGAAAAAAGAAATACTGTGTGAAATGCAACAGTGGCAGTTCGACAAATAGGTTGATAAAAGAGTGGTTTTGTTTCAGCTGATGGCTGCTGTCAGGTCTTGCGAGCTTCCGTTAACTGCAGTTTTCTTACGCTTCTGTATAATTACGGTTTCAGATCCCCTCGCTCTCTCTTTTGCTTTTTGAGTGTTTCATTTGACAAAAACAATAAAACACAATATGAACGATTTTAAGATTAAGAGATTTGACTTAATTTTTCATATATTCTCTACATATTGTTATAACTTGGCCACAAAAAGCATGCAGTGAAAGTCTGCTGTCACGTCAATACTAATACTGGATTTTATTTTTTGTTACAGTACTGGTAAATTTGCAGCAGTTTGTTGGATATCAGTAGGACATCACATCGTCTTTGGCTTGGAGACTCTGACTGGGCCGTTTGTCCTTGGTTTGCAGGTAATCTAAACAATGTGGCATGAAAGTGTCCATGTGACTCACTGAACAGGAAAGTCTAAGAAGAATATTAGAGAGCAATTCAGCTGCAAACAGAAAATTCGTTTCTGTTTTCTAAGAAAGGTTTTATGCACACATTCACAGAACACTGAACTACTGGTGATGGTAAAAAAACGATTCACTCTGGTTACACGGCCCTTGTGTAGGCTTCTTTTTCTACCACAAACTTATCAGTAGAAACACTTTATACCAACTGTCAAGCACGGTGGTGGAGGGGTGATGATTTGGGCTTGTTTTGACCTGGGAACTCAAGTATTCTTGAGGGAGATGTCAGGCCATCTGTCCAACAGCTAAAGCTCAGCACAAGTATGGGCAATCGCAATTCCAAGCACAGCAGCAAATCTACAAAAAATAAGAGTCGAGGTGTTGCAACAGGCCAGTCAAAGTCCAGACCTCGACCCGAATGAAATGTGGTAGGCCCTTAAGAGAGCTGTGCAGATGCCCACAAACCTCAATGAACTAAAGCAAAACTAAAGCTGTAAAGAAATGTGTGACAAAGTTTCTTCACAACAATGTGAACGAGTCTTACAGAGAACAATTACTTTAAGTTATTGCTGCTAAAAGCGGTTGTTGGAGTCGAGTTTTTGAAAGCTTTCTTTTTCACATCATTGTGATTTGAGACGTCTGGAACAAAGGTACTTAAATGACACACAAGATTTTACAAGCCTGCTGCCTGTGGCAGGACATAAAACATATTTATCCATCCTTTTTTAAATCTGTTTATTCAATTCAGGGTCGCAGGGAGGCTGGAGTCTATCCCGGCTGTGTTGGGGTGAAAGGTACACAGTGGACAGTTTGACAGTCAATCGTTATGCTCTCATATTATTTCTAATACATACAAACAAACACACAGCTTCTGATTTTGTAGTTTTTACATAAAAAACAATTACGGTTTATAATTGAAGGTCAAACCTTAACATGTGGATCCAGTACTCTAACAAACTAACAATCACACTTCACACAGCTTTATGTGACTGTTGAGGGCAAAGTTAAAAGCATAAAATGTGGCAAGAATGGAGTAGAAGAAGAATAAAGACAGAATGAAACACTTTTGATTAGACAGCTTTGACAAAGATTACTTAATAAATATTACGATGTATATTAAGTATTTATACTTCTTCTGCAGCGCGGTACTGTTTATCTTATGGTCTCAAGGGTCTTGTGTGTTATTTGGACCCTCAGTTAACATTAGTGAAAGTCAGTTTCTGTTTAATTGCTGCTGCTGCTTTTAATGTTTAAAGTTTTTGATCTTTGTGCTCAACTTCTGAGTCCTTGCTTCAGATTTATCATTTTGTTGACAGTTAATTTTGAAATTTGTAGATAAAGTCTCAATAATGACTTTCCTGGTTAAGTCATCCAAAAGCTAAAGCTGTTACTGAGATATAATAAAATGAGAGAAACCATGATTAACTAGCTAAAATTTTTATTTCCTAGCCGTTAAGCCAGTGTACCTTCACCATACCATTACTCACAAATACCATAGTTTACACCATGTTCCCATGCACCACCCTTTATTAGGATCCCCATCCCTTACGCCCTACAACCAAGAAAATCACGGAGGATTCCTGTATCCATTGTGCTTGAGGAGGAGGTTCTCCATAAATAGCTGTGGGGCATCGGTTAAGGAGGGCGGACCGCCATGTTCCCCCTCTCTATGGCCAAGTCCCTCCATTCACCCACAGACAGCACCTCATTGCCTTCCCACATGGAGGAAGGAGGGCTGTTTTGCGACGCTCCCTAGCTTTCAGAAACAAACCCCATTGTTCCTCACGCTCACACGCTTTTCTTCCTCTTATTTTCCTTTTGCAGCAGTTAGCTTTTTTGCTTGAGCTGCTCCTTTTCCTACAATGCAAAAGCATTTCCTGCCTTTCTGTCACCAAGGGTAGGTATGGACTGCACATGCCCACCCACCCAGAGGCTGCCTGCCTATTTATCAGTAGGGGGGTTGCTCATAAAGTCATAGTATAAAACAACAAACAAACAAACAAACAAACAAAAAAAAGATGCTCTGATTAAATAATAATTAACAGCTAATAAACGCAGATACAGAATGTCTTCTGTGCACAATAAATACCATGCCACAGAGATGCGTGGATCCAGGTAATTAAGCTTGGAGGTTCCCAGAGCAATTTGTTTGTTCTCCTCTCTGTCTGTGGCTTGCACCTGGAGTTTCATCAGCTGCTCCTCTATCCTCTGTACAGCTTTACGCTTCATCTCCACAGCCCTTACAAAGAAAAACAAACACAGGGCAGAGAGAAGGAAGAAGACAGATACACAAGATGCAAAGGAAAACAAAGACGGGGGTGTACGAAGGCGGGGAGACAGAGAGAGACGAGGAATTATAACGACAGACTTTAAATGCCCTGGACATCATTTAAACTTCGTTGCTGAGGAGCAAAGATGTTTAAGTAATTAAGTAATTGATCAAACTCTCTTGTACTCATTAGCGGTGCTAATGTTTTCTTACTTTTTGCTCTTGTCATCATGGGAAGCCTTGTGATCAGCTTTGGCAGCCTTCAGCTGCTTCCTGGCTGCTGATAGTTGATTTTGTTTCTCATCGATCTACAATCACAACAAATGCACACAGAGTGAAGTCTAAAAGCTGCACCACCAAAAGAGTGGGTAGCTTTACCTTTAATGGGTACAAAAAAATGCCTGTTTACTGAGAACAAATTCTAATGGAGGAATAACAAAACCAGAAACAATCGTAACACAGACGTTTACCTTGTTCTGAAGATTTTGCATGGACTTCTCAAATGTTTTGGGCGGAGCTCTCTGGTGGTTGCAAAGAATGGCCACGGCCCGGTTGGCTCGGTTGTACGATAGGATCTTTGCTGGGATGCTGTCATCAGCTGTTGATCCAAAAACAACATAAGAGGAAAAGTTTAGAATGATTTAAATTTAAAATGACTCAAACTTTGCTGTGTAAAGGGTTTAGCCAATTTGCTAAATTGCTGCTAACCTGCTGTTACTATAATTCTATCACATAATGTAATAAAGTAGTTATTTTTGAATGGAAAGGCCCAAAAAGGCATTAAGTGTACAATGCTCATGTGAACAGTTATTATTAGTCATTCGTTCTTCCTTTTTCACCTTTCCTCTGCGCTGTTGCTCTCCCAGTTTTAATGAACAGACACGCGTATAATGACACCTGTCTGTACAGTACAAGTAGACTGGTATACAGCTTAAAAGTACAGGCTTAAAGCTACCTGTGTGAGAGGAGCAGGAGTCAGTACTTTTGTTTACATGGTGGAAACAATACTTTAATACCTGCACTGTCATGAATATAAACTCCAGAGTCCAGGTGTCGCAAACAGTGACTGTAGAAAACAAAATCACTTCTACAGTCACTGGTCACAACACAGCACAGAAGCCACCAGTTACAGCTTCACATACACTCCCAGGTCACTTTATTATGCAAACTTGTTCAGCTGCTTGCAAATATCTAATAAGCCATGGCAGCAGCTCAGTACATTTAGGAATGCAGACACGGTCAAGTTCAAAGTGAGCGTCAGAACGAGAAAGAAAAGTGATTTAAATGTCTTTGAACCTGGCGTGCTGGTTGGTGCCAGGCTGGTCTGAGTATCTGAGAAACAGCTGATTTGCTGGGATTTTCCCATACAACTATCTCTAATGGTACAGAGAACTGTATAAAAAAGAAAAAATATCCAGTGAGCAGCACTTCTCTAGGAAAAAATGCCTTGTTCATGTCAGAAATCAGAGAAGAATAATCTGAATGCTTCGAGCTGACAGGAAGGAAACAGTAAAAGTTAAAGAACCAATTGTTATACCCAAGGTATGCAGAAGAGCACCTCTAAAAGCACAACACATTTAACACTGAAGAAGACGGGCTACAGCAGCAGAAGATGACACCGGTGCCACATCAGTCAGCAAAGAACACAAACATGAGTCTACAATTTGCACGGGCTCACCCAAACTGCACAACAGAAGACTGGCTCATCTGATGAGATTTGAGTTCATTCTGTAGAGTCAAAATTTGATGTACATGAAAACACTGATTCATCCTGTCTTATAATAGTTCAGACTGCTGCTGCTGGTGTAATGTTGTGGGATATGCTTTCTTGGCAGACTTCGGGCCCCTTAATACCAGCTGAGCCTGCCTGAGTATTGTTGCTGAATCCATCTAACCCCGCTCCTGTCAGGATAAAACACCATGTCACAAAGCTCAGATCATCTCAGTCTGGTTTCTTGAACATAACAAGAAGTTCACTGTACTCAAACAACCTCCACAGTCACCAGATCTCAAACCAATAGAGAAACTTTGGAATGAGGCAGAATGGGAGATTTGAGTTATGGATGTGTGGCTGACAAATCTGCAACAACTGATGCCGTCATATGAATGTGGACCAAAATCTCTGAGGAATGTTTCCAGCACCTTGTTGAATCTATATCATGAAGAATTAAGGCAGTTGTGAAGGCCAAACCTGAGAGTAGCAAAGAGTACCTAATAAATTGAGACTAGCACTAACTTATTTAATGATGACAATGAGTTGCTATAAGACTACATGAAACCATTTTCACTCACAACAGGTCAGCTCCTTGAGCTGCTGTTGCAGGGTGATGGAGGCGTTATAGGTACGGAAAACTTTGGCTGTAAGTCCATCCATCAGCTCCTGTAGGTGCTTATTTAGAATAGATGTCTGCAGGAAACACAGAAAAGAAGAGGGAACAACAGTTAAGGAGGGCAGGTGAATCAGAATTATACAAAGTAGTTAAAGTAAACAGTTAACGTGAAGGCAGGTATTCTTGTGTGTTTCTCACATTCAGTCTGTCAAAGAGGTCGTCTTCAGGCTGTTTGTTTTCCAGGAACAACTGGAGGTTTTTAAAGACCTGACAGGAAACAAGAACGAAGATGTACTCAGCCTCAAATCAGTCACTTACATTTAACTCTTAAAACTGTGGCCATGGATGCACTGACACAT